GCGCACATCCAGCAGCAGCCCTGCAGGAGCACACCATGTGCTTCCTGGTGCACAGCCACTTGGACAGGACACAGAAAACAGCTGATCATCTGCTTCCCACAGGAGGCAGCCATACCAGAGGCAGGCACAAGGCTCAGAGCTCAGCACGAGTCATCTGTGAGGAACTGCTCCGGGTCTACTGCAGGTTAAGTGACAACCTCTATGCTATGAGGCAAATTAAAGGTGCAAAATTTCTGTAGGAAATCTCTACCACTACCAGAAAGCTTCAATGGATGGACAGAAGTTCAGCACCAGCAAGGCAGAAGGCAACAGAAAAGTTCTGGAGAGCCACGGATAACTATGGATGGCAGCACGCCAGTGAGGAGGCAAAGAAAAGGAACAGAAAGCAGCTCAGGGAAAGCAACTTGGAGGAGCAGAGAGGAAATAACAGAAAGGAGAGCAAGGGGGAAAAAAGGCCACAACAGAGGAGAATGAGTCAGAAGAGGCATGGAAAGGAAGAAAATGAGCACTTTGGGAAGAGAGGCCCATCTAGTATTAAAATAAACCTGCCCGAGAATTTTTGATTTGGCAGCTCTGAGTATCAGAGCAAGACCAGGCGCAATACAAACAGTGACCCTGAAAGAGCATCTGAGCCTCTGTTCTGATGACAAGGGCAACAAACAAGTAGAGAGGAGGATTGTAACAAACCACTCTGCAACTTTATGGGCAAAAAAATTCCAAACTTTGACAGGCTGGTGAGGTGCTCTTTTGCCTTCTGGTTCCGCATTTAAGAGGTTGATTCTGGCTCACACTGAAGTCAAGGCGAGAGTGGTGCCCACCTGCACTGAATCTCCATCATTTTAGATGAGAACCCCTCATAAGAAATATTTAAAGAAAATAGGAGGGGGGGGGGAAAGGAGTACTTTTCCAGGTTTATACCTCACTTTTTGTTTTTATTGGGTCTGTTGTAACTATTTCTAAATCATCAATTTTAAGTCAGCTTCTAAGTCCATAGCTCTGCCTTTCTCATACAAACTGATTTAAATACAAAAGTTGTTTACTTTGCATACAGAAACTTACAGTTTAGTAACATTAGGTTGTGTTCACTGCAAGAGTGAACTAGCCTGTGTTTCTCTGTGATCCTCTCTTCTACGTTTGCCTAGAGCAAGGGACAGGCACATTTCAAAGACAAATAAAATACAAGCAAGTTATAGGTAACATCACAGTGAATCATATTTAGTCACCCTGCAGGTATGCACATAAATAACCTTGTTTACTAGTGAGATGCCTTGTGTTATTGAATGTCCTTGGCCTTTAGCATCATAGTACGCTCCTGATGCAGAGAGTGCACTTTGCCACGCGCTCTTATTAGCTATCAAACACAAGACCAGATTGTGTGAATGCCAGACTCCCCTCTAGGACCTCCTCTCTTCTCATATCAAAGAAAGGGTAAGATGAACTGCCACTGCAGAAAACTATACCTCCCACCTTCTCCTCTGCAATCTCAAAGCACTCAGCAGCTTCAACAAGTACAGAAGGGGAGAGCATTTTGGAAGTCAGTCCAAAAGGATGAGGGGTGAAGAAAGGAATGGAGAGGATGGTTTGCTGTTGCTGAGCAAGAAAAGAAGCACACTCCTGCTCAGTATGAGCTGTTTGCTGAAGCTAACAATAAAGGTAACAACCAACTCTTTCTAATATTGCTGACTTTTTAAAAAAAAAAAAAAACAACACCGTCTTTCAAAGAGCTAATAACATCAAATACCTCAAGCTTTCACTCCACAACCATATCCCTTAAATGTAACATACTGCAGCTTCACTGAGCTGTAGGATAATGCTAGTCCTTTTAACGCTCCTTAGGCAAATCTGTAGGGACTTTGGAGTCCTTCAATGCAATGCAAATTTGGTTTGCAACACTTCACCACTTCCTTCCCCCAGATAAAAGGCGCAGCTGATATTCACCTTCTTTCAGAAAGCCCAAGATAAATACACACACACATATACAAACTCACATACATATACATATATATTTTTATCTATGTAAAAATACTCACACACAAATGTATATGACTAAATGCTAATACACACAAGAGTGGGCTTTTGTCAGGTGTTTTTGTTGCATTAAGTGTACTGAGCTTCACTGTAGGCAGAAGGACGTCGGCTTTTAAACAGGACATTAAGAAACCATCCTTACCCCATGAATTTTGTAAAGATCGGACATGCTCCATGCAACCTCTTCTTACCTCTGAAGCTTTGCATCAGTGTCACTTAATTAAATGAGATTTTTATGTTTCAACTTCGTCAAGTTACACAAGGCTGTGGCCAATCAATTTAAAATGTTGGTATGACAAAATTTTCTCTAGGCAGAGAAGCACACTCTGCAAAGTAATTTTCGTTAGAGCAGGAGCAGCATAGTTTTAAACAGAGTATTACTGATATTGTGATGCATGCTGTGACTGCTTAAAAACTACTCCCGATTTTTATTCTATCTCTGTTGCAATTAACCCCCACCCCCTCAACAAGCTGAATAGATCATGTGTTTATGCTGGGTTTTGATTTTTCAAATCCTGAGCTGATGCTTCGCTCATTCCCAATTCTACTGAAGTCAGTATGTCTCTTCCTGAGAGAATGGAAGTCAGGGTTGCTGGCTCTAGGTCTTCGGAAGGCACTGAGCAATGCAGTTAGGGGATGGTTAATTTTTCCCAGCTGTTCACGCACTAATGGTTTATGCTACCTGGGACTGTCAAATAAAGCCAGTGCAAGGGACTGTAATCCCATCTGGCTCAAACTGCACAAATAATGCCTCAGAGAGATGTGAAAAGAGTTTAATATTTTGCAAAAGCTGTGGCAGGCCTTGAGACATGAGAGAAACCACGCTCGGTTGAGAGAGCTGGTGAGGAATGAGAATGGCTTTAGGACAAGAAGTGGCTCCTGTGCATAATGGATGGGGAGGGAGCACACTGGGAGGGGCAAGAGGCCAGGGCCAGCAAGGGTTGAGTTCATTTGCAGCCAGACCCAGCACACACTCTAGCCCAGCTGCCAAGCTACTCTTCAGAGTCCCTATAAAGCCAACAAGAAGGACTGCCAGCACCCTGGGAGGCCAAATTTTAGTCACAGTGAGCCTAGCAGGTGCTGTACCCTGCAGGCCACAGACAAGCTTGCTCCAGATCTGTCCAGCATCCTCAAAAGCCAGGGCCCAGGTGCCATATACATTTGAAGGCCTTGTTACTTAGAATTTGCTGTTCAGTGCCACAAAAAATCGCATTCTGAATACTTTATGCAGGGCACACACAAAGGGTAGTAAGTTTTCACAATACTTTAGATCCGTGGTCAGCAACCTAATTGCGTAAGACACTGTATGTGCCAGGCACACACCAGAGCTGAGAGATGGGGGTCTGGGATCCGCAGGACCCCCCATTCCCAGCCTGCACCCAATCTGGGGGAGACAGCCCCCCTCTGGCACCCAGCCCCCGCAAGCATCTCCCATCCCGCACCGCACGCCGGAGCGGGCAGCAAGGCGGATGCGGGGCTGGCAGCGCCCTGGCTGCCTTGCGCCCATTCCCGCCGACTGCAGAGGGCACTCGGGGCCTGCGAGAGGCGGCGGAGCTCCCGGGGCCGAGCTGCCATCTCCTGGCAGCGGGAACGGGAAAGCCCAGCGCCGGGGGACACACGCCGCGAAGTGGGCTGCGGCTCCCGAGATCGAAAGAAGCTAAGGAGAGGGAAAGGTACAAGCATCTTTATGTGAGGCACATAAAAAACCCCACACTTACTCCACCACCAGAGGTTAGAGATCTGGCAGGACGATGGAAAAAGACCTGTTTCACTTTAAACACCCGTCAGAAAACATCCTCGGGGAGTCAGTCCGGGAGAGACAATCCCCACTCGCAGGGAACAGAGCCCGCTGTCACACAGGGAGGGCCCAGAAACTAAGTCCGGTGGTTAACATCGGTATGAGCGGTGGAGACCCAGCCCCGAGAATGGCAAAACGCAGACCCTCTGCAAGGGGGTCACATTAGCAAGGCGAGAGGAGAAGTGAGAGCTGGGGAAAATTTCCCCATCCTCTCACAGAGGAAAACATGCATGGAATATCGGCTCCTCCCTGTTACTGTTCAGTCAAATCATCTACGTGGTAGTTCAACAACTGGAGAGACTGGAAGTGCTACGCATACATCCATTTTTAGATGACCGGATGCTCTGCACCACTCTACACACTTGCAATGTGTTGAAGCAAAACGCGTAGATCTATCTAAAAAATACCTCAGTCGTTAAACAAATTAAAACCAAGCCCCAAGACAGCTTAACGGGTACATCCTCCTTCTGCACAGAGAGACCCGAGCATGGGCAACATCCCCCGAGTTGAGTTAATCGACTTCAGAAACTGGAAGGGAACAGTCTCTGACCACTGGTGCAATTCCCATTTTGCAGAAGTTATGCGAGGAATTATGCCAGCTCCCAGACTCGCTCTGTCCACTGGTAAGCGTCGTAGCCTCTTTTTTTTTTTTTTTTTTTTCCCCTCTCCTTGTGGCAAACAACATACCAAGACACAGAGATTTTTTTCAGCTACACCCTTTCTCTCGCCAGCCACCCCCAGCCCTTCCTCGGGGAGAACGGAGGCACCGGAGAGGGGCAGCGCGAACTGGGACCCTTCTGCTCCCACAGCCCAGCCCAGCCCGGAGCCGCGCAGCGGGAGACAGAGACTGGGGTCTTCCTCCTGCGGGATCCCCCGGCTGCGGGGCAGCCCTTGACCCCCAACCGTATATTCATAAAATAATAAAAAAAAAAAAAGGAAACACAAATCAACATCTCAACATCCCGGGCGGAGTTTCCGACCGCAAAACGCCTCCGTAGGTTTTCTGCCCTCCACCCCGTCCGGGCCCGCAGCGGCTCCAGCTCCTCACCCCCGCTTCCCTCCGTCCAGCGGGACCCGCTCGCCAGCCCGTCCTCCTCCGCCACCGCCACCCCCGGGGAACCCGCCCGCCCGCCCGCCGAGAAGTGAGAGCCAGGGCCGCGAAGGCTGCTCAAACCTTGGAGCAAAGGGGAGCGGGACAGCTCGGGCCGGTCCTCGGGGAAGGAGTCGAGGAGCCGCTTGAAGAGGCGGCCGAGGTCAGAGTAGCTGCGGTGCAGGTAGAGGATGTTGCGGTCCGACCACTCGGTGCGGATCTCGTAGAACTCCTCCTCGTCGCCCCGCCGGCTGATGATGAGCCGCCGGATCCCGTTCACCCAGCAGCCCCGCACGTACATGTTCACCAGCGAAGTGCCCTCAAACACGGCCGAAGCCATCCCGCCGCCGCCCGCACATCCCCCGTCGCCGGCGCAGGGCGAAGCGCACCGCCCCGCGCCGCCGTGGCCAAGTTAAGAGGAGGAGGAGGAGGAAGAGGAGGAGGAGGAGGAAGAGAGAAGGGGGGTGCCACCCGCCGCACGGCCCCCCTTCCCGGCCCGGCCCGGCCCGGCTCGGCTCTGCCCGCCGGGGCTGTGCCGCCTCCCGGCGCTGGAGGGAGGGCTCGCTAGTGCCTCACAGACGGCGGCCGGCGGCGAGGGGACGGCCCGGGCACCTCAGCTTCTGCCCCGCTGAGCCCCCGGCGGCTCTCAGTCCCTCCCGGGGCGGGGAGCAGGATGGCTCGGCCCCTTCTTCCTCGGCGCCGCAGGAAGGCAGAGCCCCTCCCGTTCACGGCGGGGGGGGGGACCCCCCAATCCCGGCTTCGCAGCCAGCGCTCACCCCCTCCGCCAAACGCTGCGGTCCCCGCGGGGCGGGATCCTCCTCTTCCTTCTCGGGACGGTTTCGCGCACGTAACAGACATGACGAGGAATTTTTTTTTCCCCTCCCAGTGACCCCAGAAGTTTTGTTTTCTGTTTCTTAGTTTTGTTTTGTTTTGTTTTTTGTTTTTAAACCTCCATCCCGGCCAGCTGAAGGAGGAAGAGGGGGATTGTCAGGCTGTCAGCCGCCAGCGGCGCTCAGGATTGACCAGCGTTCTTCTATACATTGGGAAACCTCAACGGAGAACCCGGCAGCCGTGACTGCACCACCGGGAAGAGGGGAGCCAGTATAGAGGGGGAAAGCAGGAGAAAGGGAGTATGGGGCTGGTGCCTGGGACTGCTTTGTCCTTTTAATAGCCTGGCGGGACGCCACCTCTGAGGGAGCCTCCAGCAGCATCGCATTCAGGGAGGAGATGGGGATGCGCCTACAAATACAGTCCCTCATTCCCACGGGGACCCCATGCCATGCCCTGCCTTAACGCCCAGAGAGCGGGGCACTGGGAATGCTGGCAGGGGCTGCAGCAGCCAGCAGTAGGCATCTGGCAAAACCGGAGATGCACTTGTAGAGCAAGAAAGTGTGTGGGAGATGCCTGGATGCCTGCAAATGCCTTGAAGCTGCGGGGTTAAGATATACATACTGAAGGTGAAGCAAATGACAGCGCAGTGATGTGAGATGCATCATACAGGATGGGATTCTACTTGAAGGCAGTGGCCTGCGGCACCAGGCTTTTTGTGGCAGAGGGGCTCGGCAGAGCCAAGGGAGGCGGTGGTTGACTTCCCTGGGTCATGCCATGGCCTGGGGCAGGAGAGACCTTTCCTGTTTGTATAATCTAGGGAGGTCAGAGGTCATTACACTCACACTATGTATTATAAAATTTAAGGCATTCTTTGCTAGAGTGACATCTGTGGTTCAGGAAGCCAGGAATTCACATGGTAACAATTCAGGTGCAGTTTAACTGCTCAGAAAAATCATCAGAGCCCACAGACAAGACTACTGTTACAGGTATCAGCCAAAAAGCAGTGCTTGGAGAGCATTGAAGCTGTATCAGCTTGGGATAGCACAAATAAGCATGACTGAATGGCACAGAGGTGAAAGTTACTTAATAGCTTTCTGTAAAATATATAATTAAATAACTAAGTCATACTCTTTTCAATAGATAATGTTGTAAATAGCTGCCTGCATCATTCAGGTGCCACATGCCCCTATATTAAACCAACTCCAACAAATGCAATGATGTCACAATTGTACATTTTACCTATTTAGCTTCTATAGAACAAAACTGGTTTTGGTTTGCTCTGAAGCACAGTCATACATAAAGAATGCAAACAACTGAGCCCCATCTCTCCCAATAGAAAGGTGCATGCCTGTTTGCTGCAGCCTTGACTATACAGCACCTGCAGCCATTTCTTTAGAGAAATCTGTATTTTTGGAAACAGGCAGGCAATGCTCAAGATGTCATAGCAGATCCTATGCCCACCAAACCGACTTCCTTGAGAACAGTGCTGTGCCATAACTGTGATAGAAAACCAAACAAAGAAAACAACCTGAAAGCAAGCACTTCCCACAGAGAGCTGCATAGCCCTGACCAGACCAAAGTATGTGGCAGAGGCCCACTCACTTCACCTTGGAGCACCACAAAAAGGGTTTTCACATCACTGCTGGACTAGACATCTCCCGAGTATCCCATATTCGTTGTTCAGAATGTTCAGTGTGGCCTCACAGTAAAGGAATTATTGTGAACCCTTGTACTGTAGGAAGATCTCCACGCAGCTCCTTTTGTTTAGGGCAGGCTTTTGTAATCCCTCCTCTTGTTCCAGGACATGGTGGCCTTCCTTGTTCTTCAGCATAAAAACAAAACAAGAAAATAAAATGCCTTCTCTTGGGGCAGTTGCTGTGCTAACCCAAAACATCCACATATCCTAGGGAAGCGAAACTTCTAGGAAGAGAACCACGAGAGTAAACACCCCTTTTTTTTAAAGATGTCAGCCTTGCATTGCTTCTGTTTAAGCAGGGAAAGCACTTGAGTTCTGCTCAGTCTGACTGGTATTTTCTGCCTTTGCAATAGAATGATTTTTGCCATTGTTGGCCTGCCCACACCCTGTGTGTCACTCAACAGACCTCTGAGGCTCTCAGCACCTTGTAGGAGTTCTGACTTCAGTGGATTCTGCAAGGTCTTGGATGGGGGTTGTCAGCTTCTGCTGGGCTAAGGTTGGCATGTACCATCCTGTAGGTTCAAGCACTGAATGTTTGGTTCTGTTTTTTATCCTAAGTGGTGCTATGCTTCCAGCTTAATTAAAATAGTCAAATAACACAAAACCCTGTGTGCCTGTCACTGCCTGCTTATGGAAAATGAGCCTATGCTGAAAATTCATTACCTAAGGGGCTTGAAGCTGACATCCTGATGCCATATCCTGCTGAATTTTACAAGTATGAAGAGTATGCCTTATGCTGCATATACAGGATCAGTTTGTTGTTCCCCCGTAAGTACGATCCTGTTTCAGAAAAATCTTAATCCAGTAAGTCCGGAAGTACAACATCCCCTTTTTGGAGTGAAGAGTATAACTGTGCACAGCTTTAAATCCTGCCAATGAGCACTTCTGGCACCCATTGCCTGTGGACAAGTTGGTAGCCCACCACAATTTAATCTCATTCTCAGCTCAGGCTGCAGGACATGCATATGTATGTCCTGCCTCCTCCTGGGTCATGAGTGTCCCTATTACAGCAGTGTAATGCCAACCAGACATTAAATCTGAGCACAACTGTTATTCATGGAAGCTGGGTTACTGTGTGGCTCCAGATGCCGGAAAATGCTCACACACAGAAAAGAAATGTTTGCATTAGACTAGTGGTGTGCTGAGGAGAATGGTGGAATTCACAAATTATCTGCTTCATGGAATGTAAAATGGATGTGCAGGAAGGACAGATACTCCCACATTCATGAACTATGTACTTTGCAGGGGAGGAAGAGGCTTTTTTACTTTTGTACTATATTCAGAATTAAAGTTGTAATTTTTCACAATAGGCTTTATGTTGAGTAACAAGGAGTTTTCATCATAAGGAAAAAATGAACTGTATGTTTTGTGAGCATGTCCAGCGAAGCTGGCAGGTTTAACTACTTCAGTTTAGATCATTAACCTCTTTAAGGGAAATGGATTATTGAGACAGCAGCAGCCACCAATCAGCCAAAATACATCTCCAGCTGAAACAGCGGTGAGTCTCTTGGGCAGGAACACCTAAAGGTGATGACTGTCATGGAGGAGCCAAGTTAGAACTCAAGGACAGAGGCAGGCTGTGATCTGAAGGCAGCCTGGCTTTGGCAGCACTGTCATAGCTGTTTTCTGCACCACAGTGATTAGCCCTGCCAGAAGATCTGGGTTAAAACCACAGCACTGGGGTACAGAGCAGGAATAACCAGAGAGGGGCAGAAAGGGGAGGTATTTCCCTTAGCTGGTACTGCCAGCAAAACTCAGGTGTTGGAAAACACTGATCTTAGAAACCAGTCTGAATAGCTTTGGTGCATCACCCTGGAGCCCAAGAGGGGCAGAAGGGGGACAATGCCTGCCACGGACTAAGAGGTTCTCTGGTTGTTCAAGGTTTCCTTTCCTGAAGGAAGCTGACTTTCTACATTCTTGTAAATAAACAAAAACTGCATCCGAGGTGCCTGGCTTCATTAATAATTGCTCCTTACAACTTCATTGCTCCTTACAACTCAATACCCAAAGTCACTTAAGTCAAAAGACCATCACAGCTCTCAAATCTGGAGTCATCAGTCAGCTCTTGCCTGATGACTTTTTAAAATCATTCCTGCATTAAGAACAGGGATGACCTGAATGTTACAGTGAAGAACAGGGTCACATTTATAGCCTTAGCTAGCAGATTTGTATACCAGAGTCTTTGCAAAGAAGCTCAATCAGCTCATTCAGCTCTACTGCCAGTGTGGTGTTGGAATAACTAAAATGTTCACCTATTGCACAACAAAGTAATTTCTAAAACAAGAGGGATTGAAACTTTATACACTTACTCAAGCAGTGGAAAGAAATAGCGATCTTTAGAAAGCAGCCCTCTCCTCTGTAATACATGCAAACAACATGGGCTTTTTTCCATTCTCCCACGATGTGCCCTATTCTGTTAAAAGGGTTTTTTCAATGTACAGTCTGAAGTTAAAGCAGGCTCTCCTGTTTTAGTCCTTAGTTCATACAACAAGACCATTCCCTCTGAACATCTCTGGAGAGAGGGAGACCTTGATGAAATGAGCTACAGACTGAAACATCCTTTCATGCTCCTGTGGGGCATTTTGACTGCAAAAGGTTTGCATGCACAGCCAGAGCACTGCTGGGACTGTGTATTCTCACTTTGTTCTCCTCCTCTCTCCCTCAGGCTGATTCTGTGAAGTACTGAGCCCTCCTGGAGCCAATGGGAGTTTAAAAAAGTGCTCAACAGTCTTCGAGTTTTGGCTACCTCATAATATAGCCATTAATGTATGCACAGCCTATTTTTAGAATCTGTAACATGCTTTCTGGGTAAAAAACTGCTTGAAAGACCCCTTCTTCTCCCTCAGACTTGACATTGAATTCGATTTAATAGAAGAGCCTGAAATTCTTTCCATTAAAAAGTGTATTATAAATGCTCAAGGAGCTGTAACTGCA